TTATTTATTTATTTATTTATTTATTTATTTATTTATTTATTCATTTATTCATTTATTCATTGTATATAACCCTAACAAAATAATGCCAGTTACAGGATCAAATTTGATGCATACAGATATAATTGCTTAATTAAATGTTTATTCCATATATAGAATGTCAATATTGAGCTCGTGACCCTTACGAGGGTCAAACATGAGGAAGATCATTTTACTGTTAATGTTTAATCCTCTTAGAAGTCAATCTTAAATATTGAAATTTTTCAATATGTACATGGTAGTCCTAGTCGAGAAACTGTTCTTTAATCCCAGAACACCCCCATGGAAAAATATATAAAAAAAATATATATAGGCCAATTTAATATATTCGAATATATATAAGATTTATATAAAATATATATGAAGCATATGCAAATTTATAAACATATACATAAAACGTTATTATATTATACATAAACATTATTTAAATTTATGTAACTTTTATACATAAAAGTTATACAAAATATAAATTTTTATATGCTTCATATATATTTTATATGACTTTTATGTATAAATTAGGCCAATTCCATACATAAAATATATAATTTTCAGAATATATATTTTTGCGTATGGCCACGCAATTATTTTCAGGAATTTTTTAAATTTCTGCGGACGTAATTGACGAATTTCTCGTTAGTTTAAGGGAAAAAACATGTTTTTCAGGAGACAGTAACACGGGACTGCACAAGAGGAGCTTGTACGAGCACAATGGGGTGGCTGTATGTTCCCAGAAGCGCGCGTTGTGCATCGCAACAGTCGTTCTTGCTATTCTATTCGCCATATCACTCATCATCGCTTTTGCGGGACCACAAAATGGTGAGAAAAAAATTCGATTCAGTTGATTTGAAGGACGATGAGGTGGTGAACCGCAGGGGTGGAGTAATTATTCTGTGAGGAATATGTCGTAGAATTTTCCGTTCTTAAAATTGACCTTCATCACATTCTATCCGATGAAATGATTAATCATCAATTCACTAATTTTCTCGTTGAATGAAATTTTGTTTGCACTACTGATTATGCAGACTGTCCATGCGCGGGTGAAAAGCCTGCTAATCTGGAGGTCGAGGATGATAGTGCTGGGGCAGAGCCAATGGCGACTAACGGAGAGGTATAACCCCAGTCGTTGATTCATTCACTGACTGATTAATACGGTTAATTGATTTTTAATGAAAACTCTCACGTCCACAGATATTTCCCTGGGACAACGTTAGATTACCCGCGTTTTCGCATCCAACTAGATACAATATAACTATTCACCCCAATTTAACAACCCTAGAGGTCAAAGGTAAATATAAATAATAATATACGTCTCCAAAAATCCACAAATAGAAAAAATTAAAGCAACAGCTAATTAACTGCACTAGCAATTGTTGAACGGGAGAAGAAATATTTTTTATTCGGGATTTATTGTTGGAATACATGAATAATGAATTAATTGTCGCAGATTATTTCTTCTGTATTTAATTAATGTGCGTTTTATTACTTCAGGACAAGTAACTATTGAATTTTACGTCGATAGAGAGACCAATTTTATCGTCTTCCACAGTAAAAACTTGACAATAACAGACAGAGTAAGTAGTCTCGGTCAACGAATAAAAATCCTGAGCTCACTTAAGCGACCCCTAATGCCTAAATAATTCCAGATGGTGGTGAATCGTAAAGGCCACGAGATGAAGATCTCAAAATTGCTGGAATACCCGGCGCATCAGCAGCTGTACCTAGAACTCGAGGAGAGTAAATTCCGGAAAAGAGGGAATTACACATTACACTTGAGATTCATTTCGAGATTAACGACCGAACTCGAGGGATTTTATCTGAGTTCTTATAAGACGGCAGAAGGAGAGAACAGGTATCAGGTTTCGTATATTTAACGCCCCATTTTTTATGAATACCTAAATGAATATAGATTGACAATCTTTTAATTTTAAGGGTATAAATATGGGCCATATCTCGAAGCAATGGAGAGAGTAAGGCGGTTTTCATGAGAGCAATCGTCTTGCGTCCAATTTTCATGAAGCCCGCCTAACAAACTAAAGAGAATTGAATACCATTCTATGAAAAATGAATAAACGAATCATAAT